ATATACCTCATTACATCACCAGTATGATCGTTAAACTCTAATACTTTCATACCAGCAACAATATCCCAAAGCATACAAGTCATATCACCTGACGACGTTAATATTTGTCTATCACTAATGAACCGACAACAAGAAAGGTAGCCGGTGTGAGCCGCTAATTCTCTGGCAACTTTGACAGAGCCTTCTTTTGTTTTCAAATTATATATAGAACATATGTTGTCAAGACCTCCACAAGCAACAAAGTCTCCAGTTGGTGCATAAGCACATGTCATCACCCATGACGATTTAAGCGGAATAGCATGAACTTTGTTGGTGGTTGGTGCATCCCAAACAATAAGTTTACCATCTTGTGATGCAGATACCAAATGCCTTTGATCTGATGCCCAATGCATCGCATAAATTTTGGCAAGATGTCCTTTAAGTGTACGACGAATTTTCATTACAATCCTTGGTAATGGTTCTATTTCTGCTGCCATTGTTATTACTATTTTTATTTTATATAATACATACATGTATATATACATAATATGCATAATGTAAAAAATCATTAATATTTTAGCAGATATTAATTAAACCAATAATACACTTCCAGATCATAAAAATAAAATAAAGGCCTAAAAAATAATTACAAGATGTGTCAGCCAACGAATCTCTTTTCATTTTGATTTTTTCTTTTAAAGTTTCAGCTTCCTTACGAGCTGCAGCTATTCTTTCTGCTATGTCAGACATTTTTCTTTAATAATAATGATCTAAATTCCTTTTTATTTTAGAAAGATATGTAAGATTAAGAAAATAAATATTGTTTTTCTAGTCGATGCTACTTGCTGTTAGATGTACTTGTTTAGTTTTAATATTTGGTAATGTTAAAATGCGATGTGATGGTGGTGGGTGGTAATGATAACGATGATAAAAATGAAGATAGTGTTTATTTTTTTAAAAGAAGGTAGGTATTAGAAAGAAAAAAAGAAAGATTTAAATTTATTCTTATTGGTTTCTTTTTATTATTTTATTTTTTTAGTAATAATAATCATATAATAAAAGAAATATGATTTGTTTTTTAAAATTTTAAATATATATTTTTTTTTTAGAAAACTTATTTTAGTGGTTAAAATTTTTTTTCTTCTCTTTTTTCTCCGACTTTTTTTTTTTTTAAACAAAAATAATAATAAAAATTGTTTAGTATTAGTTTTTTTTTTTGAACGACCCGTTCGTTGATCCCGGGAAATTAAATGAACATCCTCTTTGTGTATCCTTAAAATATTTACTATTACTATTACCGTATTTGAACAAATTAGAAAAAACCTTTTTTTTTTTTAAATACAATGCGAACAAAAAATCAGAAATTTTCAATACCAAATTTGGAAATCGATTCTGGAAAAAATCGAACCCCTTGTCGATCAATTCATCGAGTTTATACGCCTATATATTGAATAGATGTTAACGGTCCGGTCCAGACTGAATGGACCGTGGATCGAGTCGGCCCGGTATTAGGTACCAAAGACCGTTTGGACCGTTGAATTCTTTTAGGCATTTATTTGTTAAAAATATCATAACTCTTCCAATTATTAATATTCAAAAAAAAAAAGAATATATACAGTTTTATATAAATCAAAATTCATTCATTGTATCTATAAATGCCCATTCCTTATGATGCAAATTCTTCGAAATATTCATTTTATTTGAATCATTTGTTTTATTCAAATTGATTCATTCATTTATTCATTTCATTTTATCAAGTCATTTGTTTTATTTGAGTCATTTGTTTATTTGTATCATTTGCTCCATTTGTTATTCAGATAAAAACCTTAAGTCTGGACATGGTTTGGGCTGGTCCTTTGATTAGATTGATGGTCTTTGGACCAGATTGGACCATTAACAATCCTAGTCCCAAGCTTTTTCTCAAACAGTTTAAAAGAAATATATTTTATAAAAAACAAACATTCTTTTCAGGATCCATACATATATTACAATTGGACTTGGTGTGTATTTAGCTATACTACACTAGTTGCTTGCATTGAAAAAAAACATGAGCTATGTGTGACAAAACAGTACAAAACAGTTAAAATTTGAAGTTCTGTTTAACATCATCCTCCCCCTCATCTTTTTCAAAAAGCTTCTAAAAGTTTTTATAGGGTAGATCGAAATGTTTAAATGTTTATTTTTTCTAAAAAATGATGTTAAACAGATTTCTAAATTTGAATGGCCTAATTGAGACCTTTAAATCTTGTAGAATACTAATCCAGACAATTTACTTCCGATATTTCTAAATAAATTCATTGTTTGAAGTTGATTGGTTATAGTGATTTGAGTGATTTTTTTAAAATAACTACATGTTTCTGTTGGATTTATTGAATATAATTCATATCAGTGTTGGTAAATGGCCAATTTATGACCATATGATTTTGATGGACTGGTCATTTTATCCAGACCTAGCACAAGGTCATAAAATTAAGCAACGTGATTGGTACAGATCAAAAATAGAAATATTCTTAAAAAAATAAAAATAAAAATATTTATATCTTTCTCTAAAATAATAGAATGTTTTGGAATTCAATAGGCACCAGTAAAAAATAGCATAACTACCCAGAAAAGTTGGTGACTTTAATTCATCAATAAAAGGTGATTCCAATGACCAATTCATCAAATTGTCTTCTGCAGGATGTACTCTAATTCAAACCCTATTTCCAATTCTGAAGAATACATGTATTCACCATCATCATTATGAAATTGATTTTCTTGTTGAACCATTATTATCCATTCATTTATGATAGAATTTCCAACGTTCTCCTTCTCTTGTAACTTCAATTTTGTCATCATCATCTGATTGAATATCTATTTCTTCTGATGTGGAATCTATTCCAGTACTACTATTATATTCACTATAATCACAAACCTCTCTAATATCATCATCATTGGATTCATAGGTTTCACAATTATTAACTATTGGTGCTGATAAATGAAGTCTACAAGTTTCTTTTGGTTTTTGTTGATTAAAGATTTTTTCATTTGGATATTACTTCGTACTCTTGCCGTTGATAGGACCTTTTTGGACTGATCAAAAAAAAATTATTATTGTAAAATGTTTAAATTTTAAAGTGAGACTCAAGATAAAATAAATAAGTACATACATTGAGCCTGTTTCTTTTTATAGTGTGAATGTGGCCCATACTGGACCACATCCTCTCCACTGAAGCAGAGTTAATAGAGATCCCATGTATTCTAATGGCAATTTGTGCCAACTCAGGACCAACTCCACTCAGAAGCTAATCAAGTTATTTTTAAATTGAGAAAATGAATTGTAATCATATGGATCCTTGCCTTTAATATATACCATAAATTCTGAAAATTGAAATAGGTTTTTTATTGAACCATGCTTCATAATAATATTTAAGCATTTGACTAAGGTGTACAAAAAACAAATTTGGTATTGATGGTTTAAATTTAAAATGTTTATATAAAGGATGAAGTACCATTGAAAGAATTAAGAGTGGTTGTTCCCAGTCTTTCCAATGTTTTTCTAATCTATTAATTATTCTTCTTGAAAAAGAAATATCACTATTTGATTTAAATAACTTTAGTACATATCCAAAACAATGAAGCACTTCATATAATTTTCCAGAATCTTTTTGTATCTTATTCAAAAAACTACATAAAGGATATGAGTAAGGTTGCAGGAGAAACTCCTCCAGAAATCAATCGACAGAGTTTCGACAGGTTACACATTAATTGTTTATTAGAGTTTTGGCAGAGTTTCGCATTTGGGGTTTTCGCCAATCATCAGAGTTTTGACAGGTTACACATTAATTGTTCATTAGAGTTTCGACAGAGTTTCGACAGTCATTAAGAGGTTTCGCCCACAACCTTAGATATGATGCATACTGCAACAAAACCAGACAAAGTGAACATTTTATTATGTGATATGAATGAGGGGCTGATTGTGATGTGGCTGTAAAATTGACCAGTGTGACTGATGACATTTTGAAAAGTAATAATGGTGCTTGTTCATAACTTATGGACTTGTTAATTTTAATGCTCACTTTATCATACCAGAATGTGATGAATATAAACCATAACATGATTAATATAGGATTACCTCTATATATAAAAATAATAATATGAAGTTAATTTACATCAGATCTACAATGGAACCCAAGAATTACAGCACTATTAGAAGCATTCTAAAAAAAGCTCAAGGTGAAAAAATCACACCTTACATCTTCAAAATTAATTAATTCCTTAATTTTTTTTCTTTTTTCCTAACAGATAGGCAAAAACTCCTATCATCAATACTATTATTGTTCCTCCCAAAGTGTAAGGTAAGTAATTGGTTGGGTTGGTTGATGGTAATTGTTCTTGCTTTTTCTCAGCAATTATTTGTTTAAGTTTCTTCTTCACTTGGAGAATCACTATCTTTTTCTAAGGGAGGAACTTCTTCTTTCTCTCCTTTTTGGTTAGATTTCCCTTCCTCATCTATATTAAACTTCTTTCTTATTTCATCCACAAATTCCTTTTCTTTTTGTTTTCTTATTTCATCATTTTTTTGTTGTGCTAGTTCAAATAATTTTTCTTTTAACTCTTCAGATACTTCTTTTAACTCTTTCTTTCCTAATTTGAGAATATCTTCAAGAGAGTAATCATTAGGATTAGAAAGTATTTTTTCTATTCTTTCTGTATTATGAAATCAAGAACATCAATTTCATCAACGAAATAACATCTTATGTTTATACCTTCATCATTCTTTACTCACCTTTCTTCTCCAATTCCTATTTTCTCCAATTTAGGCATTGATTTTTCATCAAGAATACCTTCAACAAGGTTTTTGGAATAGTATAACTCTTTGAGATTATTGGCAGTTATCTCATCTATTGTAAGTTCAACATTATCTATTTATACTAACACTTAATACTACTAAAGAAAGCTGTTTACTGAGATCAAGAAAATCTAAGTGGGGGCAGGTGTTAACTTTTAATACTTTCAGGCCACTTTCTTACCTGATGGAGTGCTCTGGTTGTGTGGTGAAGCACATAAATTGTCATAATCTAAGGTAGAAAATTTTAAATTTACAATTGATTTATTGTTTAAATTATTCAATAAATTAACTTGTAGACTCAGATTTAAATCTTCATCATTATTATCTCTAATATTTAAAAACTTCCCATCAATTGAGCAATTTCAACCATAATTTCTTCTTTCCTTTGAAAAGATTCTTCATGGTTATTATTTTTCATTTAATTAATTAAAGTAATTAATAAAATAAACACCAACATGAAGTAATCTATTTTTTTGCAATTCCTTACAAAAATGATGAATGTTACTAGTATGATCAGTGTCAAGGTATGTTGTGCAGGAAATATTTCAAACACAAAAATCAATACTATCATTTATCCAATTTGCTCTACTTTTTAATTCATCTAACAGTTTTCTTCTTTCTATTTCATTCAATTTATTCTAATTTGTTTGGGAAATAATTCTTTTGTAACATTTTCAACTGGTGGTGAACCTCCATATGATGTTATTCCTGCTACATGTCTAAAATAAAATTTGTTCTTTCATTATTTAAACCATGACATATTTTCTTCTGACATTAGAGGTTTTTTTGTCAAAAAAATTAGTTATTTGTGTTGCATTGTTTGTAAGTTGCAGGCACTAGATTTTGGAATGTCTTTCCAAAAAGTCTGGATCAAATTATCACATTTACAACCTCTCTAACAGATGGATGTCAAGAAACTTTTCTTTTGAATTTTTTTGTCATAATTTCCATACAAACTGTGGTACAAACAATATGATCAACAACTGATTTTACCCCATTTATCCCAGTTATAAATGAGTATAGGGACATTCAGTATGGTATAACTCTTGCAGAATGTATGGTATGGTATTGTATAAGTGTTGTATACCAATGCTTAAATCTAACATGCTTCCCTTCACACCCACCAAAAAAGGATTTAGAATAATATTCTGTGTGACTGGTAGAGAGAGATTCAGTATGGTATAACTAAGGTTGCGGGAGAAACTCCTCCAGAAATCAATCGACAGTGTTTTGACAGGTTACACATTAATTGTTTATTAGAGTTTGGCAGAGTTTCGCATTTGGGGTTTTCGCCAATCATCAGAGTTTTGACAGGTTACACATTAATTGTTCATTAGAGTTTCGACAGAGTTTTGACAGTCATTAAGAGGTTTCGCCCACAACCTTTGGTATAACTCTTGCAGAATGTATGGTATGGTATGGTATAGCTCATATTTTTCCATATCAAGTCACACAAAATTTTATTCTAAATCCTTTTTTGGTGGGTGTGAAGGGAAGTATGTTAGATTTAAGCATTGGTATACAACCATTTTATTACACTATACAATACCATACCATACATTTTGCAAGATTTATACCATATTGAATGTCCCTATACTCCTGTGTGACTTGGAATGGAAAAATATGGGCTATACCATACCATACCATACCATACATTCTGCAAGAGTTATACCATACTGAATCTCTCCCTACCAGTTATAAATGTACAAAAAATATCACATCATCAATACCTGTTTTTACATACCAGTTCCTCAAAAAAAAGCCATTTTATTCCCATTTTTGTTAATACCAGTTCAATTATAATTGCCTGAGGTCCTAGTCAAATGATTTGTCACATGAAATGATTTTCAAAGTTTTTTTCTGAAACTTTTTGGTGGCCAACATCAAAATTCTATTAATTTTACATCTTTTTGCCCAGCAATCTCCACCAAATTTGACACTGGACTTATTCCTTCCTCTAGAAAAAATTTAGGGAAATCACCACATTTGGAAATTAATTATCTCTTTTTGGTCATTACTCCTGAAGATCTCTTGTCCACGTTTTTTCTTTTTTGTTATTAATAAATAAATCTACCAAAATTTAATTTTTTTGCTAACAACAATTAATACATATAAAGCTATACTCATATGAAAGCTTGCAACTTTTCAATCATTAATAAAGTTTATAAAGGTAATATTGGAGAAAATCTTAGTTTTGAAGTGAAAAGTAATGCTGTTTTTGAATAGCTATAGCATTACATAGAGAGCCATCATCAATATGAGAAGAGGTTTGTTAGAAAGCTACAATGTCATAGTTTTATTCTTGATTAATAATGATGTTTGAATCTGTTATAAAAATAAAGAGATATTTTAAAAAACTGATTGGTTACACATATTGTAATTTCTATTTTACATATTAATATTAATATGAATGATCAACTGACATGACAAATTGTCCAACTGTTAATTTTATTTGAATCACTCATTTTATTTGAATAATAATAAAATGAATAAATCAAATAAACCTTATTCAAACAGAAACCCTAAATTGAAGTAGTGTTCATGTCACAATCCAAAAAAGGAAACAAAATAGTTGTAAAGGTGGTTGCAATCATTTTTATGACATAAAGGTGATAGCAACCGTTCTTAAATTGAAGTAATGTACTGTGTAGCATTTTGCCATCCTAGGCCCATTTTAAAAGTTACTGGCATAAAAATTTGCCAGAATATCTAGCTTGCTGTTGTCTAATGTTATAACTAATGTTGATTGATATTTGATAATTCTTTATCTTTTAAGCAGTTTTCTGGCTATTGATAACTGAAATTTTTTTTCTGTTATAAAAAACTTTTTTCTGAAAATATCACTTTCTAATACAAAAACGATCTTTGAGATTCAGCTGATTGATCTGTAAATGAAAATTTGGTTGTTATCTTTATGGTTTTTGTAAAATCTCCTTTAAAAGTTGGTCAATTGACTATTTTTACTTTTCGGATCATTAAATTGGCCAATAAGAATGCAAGATTGTGGTTAAAAAATTATTTTGTTACCATTAAAGAATACTTTGACTGTTTAAGAGATAACATTCAAAAGTGATAAAAAGAATTTCATTTTTTGCCTTATTACATGGCATTTATCTCAAGTTCTAGCTGACATATTTGTTTTGTTATCAGGTAGGTCCTATGTAATAACTGGCAGAAATAAATTTTTTTCTTTAATTCAAATATATTCTTATTACCATAAAGTCTGGAAAGATAGCACCCCTATTTTAAAACAATTGAGCATCAATATAAAAACAATGTTACAAGTATGTAAAAAGGGGATGCTGTCTTTCCAGACTTTATGGTATTAAATGATAAACTGATTGTATCACATGATTATAATATAAAGTTGCAAAAATAAGTTTGTTTATTTCTGCTAGTTGTTACATAGGATCTACCTGATAAATAAAATTTCAGTGCCAAAAAATTCTTCTCTTTAAAAAGCATTTGGACAGCCATGTGCTTAATATGACAAAAATTTGCACTACAAATATAGTAGGTTAGGATGTTACCTCAATTATTGATAACCCAGGATCTATTCTGGATAGTTATTGCATCCTTATTAATACATCACCCTAAGGTTGCTTGTCAAAACTCCTCCAGAAATCAATCAGCAGGGTTTTGGTAGGTTACACATTAATTGTTTATTAGAGTTTTGGCAGAGTTTTGCATTTTGAGGTTTCGCCATTTTAGCATAGTTTCAACAGGATTTTTGATAAGATTTAATATAGTTTTGCCATGGTTTCAGCAATTACTAAGGAGGTTTCACCCACAACCTTACATCACCCCCATAATTGAGGCAAAAGTCATACACATTTAAACAAACATACTGTGAGATTATAAAGCATGGACTAACCAATTGCCTGGTTAATATGACTGATTGGAACAAACTTAGAACAGTAGTTATGTGATGCACTAAACATTACATCATGATCATCCGGAAAATATAAAAAAATTTTACACGTGTCAATTGTAAGTTTAATAATAAAAAAGTGTAAAACTTACGTTGGCACTGTAAGATTTACACAATATTACGTCGGCATCGTAAGATTTATGCAAGTTTACGCTAAATTAATTTCCTGATGATCAACAATCGTTTTTCTATATTTATTGTAATGGTTGCGCCGCATGTCGTGTAATGTTATACTGTAGATCTTCGTATTTATATTCCTACTTATGTATTATTGTATTACTCATTTGACCTAAATATTTACTTAGAGATAGCATAGATCATTGGTCAAGTGAAATTAACCAATGAAAATCATGCACGCAACATTTCAATTTTTATTAAATTTATTTATTTTGAAATAATAATTCATTTATTTTTATTATTTGTCTAAATTCAAAGAAAATTTATTCTAAAAATTTTCTTTCTTTCATCAGGACTAATTAGATTGACAAAGGGATTGATTTCACAGCTTATTTTCACCAAAATCCAATTATATTGGTATATTTAACAACATATAATATAGAATTTATATAATATATATTGTAAAATAGTAAATTATAAATCACAGGAAACTGATATATAAATCGGAAATGATTTACGAAAGTTACTATTACACGCAAATAAAATCGGAAAAACTGATCAAGTGATCAAAACAGTTCAATTATTCAAACACCAATAAAATAATTGACTCACGGAAATATTGGAAATATAAATATTCCAACATTCTAAATGTAACGAATTACAAAGTCTCAGAATAATATTTAAACGAAAGAATTTTACATGACTCATGTTGACTAGAAATTACTTGAAAATAATTCTACATGGAAGGTTTAAATAATGATTAAAGAATACATTAATTAGTATAATTTAGGATTTTAAAGAAATCGGAGAACTAGATGATAGAACCTCTAAAATGTATAAATACATTGTAAATTTCTCTTTCATGTAATCTTTAGTTTTTTAATAAACTCAAAGTTATTTAGTTACTCTGACGTTTTTATATAATAATATTATAATAAATAACACTGTCCTTGTCCTTATCCTTGTCCTTGTGGTCTTCAAACATTATATTTTCGTAATGATAATGAATCTATCCCTAATAACGAATTTATACTAATCCCGTGCATAATTATTTTCTCTTATTTTATATTTGTTTCTATTATTTTTATTATTTTTTATTTCTTTTCTTTTCTTTTAGTAGGTAAAATAATCAACCTTATTTTAGTAGTTTTAGAGATGTACCTGACTTGGTATATGGCAAAGAGGAAAACAGCTAGGAGGGTACCCACCAAGAAATGTGATCAGGATATATAGTGTAAAATCTAAAAAAGATATTGATTAGTATTTCCTAGTACAAGAAATTGTTTAATGATAATAAAAGATAGTTTTGAGAGTAAAGCATAAATATTATTTTAACCAAATCAATAGATTTGTGTGAGACGTGGATTTTGATCTCACACTATACGTTTTTGTTGATTGCTAAAACATGAATCCCATTGTTCAAGGAGATATTTATTTTTGCTAAATTGTTCTTCATATAGATTCTGAATTTCATCTATGTGATTATAAGAAGTATCTAAATTCTTTTTATGATACTTCATGTTCATAATTTTTTAATTGTTGTTGTAGTTGCATGATTTTATTATTAAGATCCAAAATAATTATTGATTGTTTTTGATGTTCTGATTCACTCATTTCTAGCATGTCTCTTGTTCTTTGAAGCTCCTCTGTAATGTTAGGCTCACCAATATAATTTTCGCCTGCTACAATGTCAATGGTACTTGAGTGTAATTCCAAATTATTGATTTCCTGGGATCTTTTTTTTTTGAATAATAGGAATATCTGAATTTTTATTTATATTCGAATTTAAAAGAGTCTGATAAGAATTGTTAGTAGCAACAATCTGATTATAATGTTTTTCACATATTGAATAATTTTCCAAAGAATCAATTAACAAAGATAATTCCCTTGCAGCCTTTCCCGATGCTCGCGTTTAAATTTTCCCTGATTTTGATAGAAACATACTTTAAGCAAATCAACAGATTATCACAAATTATTAACAGATTATGAAAAAGAAAGTTTTGGACTATTTATTTCAATTATGAATTTAATTTTTTTTTAAAAAAAATGTGACTTCGATATGACAAGTAACATCTTGTGAATTCATTTGTAACATATATGAATTGATTGGCAGAGCAACATACCGATATGGTAAAATCCCAGACTGTAATAATATTAATAATTATTATTTCCTTATTTGGAAATTCGTGAAATTTACATTTTACAATATTGTCATTGTTAAAGTGAAGAATTTTCTTGGAATGTAAACAACTCTATTTTTAGTGATCAATAATTTTTTCATTTGATCCTTGAAATTCTTGATAGTACCAATGTTCACTTTGTTTGGTTTTGTTGCAGCATGCCCCATATGCGATCAACTATGTTTGTAAATCATATGATGTGGGACACCCCAACTATTTATGTAAGTTTATGGCAGACTCCATAATATTATGCAAAAATCATACAAAAATTATGCAACTATTACATTGGGTGTAAATATTACATAATTTTTTATGCAAATATTACAACTTTACATATTAAAATTTATGGATGTATTACTGATGGTAATTGGGGGTTTTTTTTTTTGGAAAACCAATCTGTTTTTTGACAGAGTCCAAGATGACAAAATGTGAGTCTCCTAAAAAAGACTATTAATAACTAACCAGAGGTACTATTTTTTGTTTGTATTGATATACAGTATATATATTTTTACTTTTTTTGATATAATGTGTCTTTTAGTTTATAAATATATATTATTGAAATCAAAATGTGGAGCAGATCTTGCTGGGTATTTATTAAGAATCTCATCAAGATGATAACAAATGAA